ATAATACGAGGGTTGTCCCAAAAGTAATGCACAACGCGCTCTAGCTGTCTTGCAATGTGATATTATCAGCTGATTTTAGTATCAGTTTGTAGCTTGAAGTCTAACGAACACGTGCGTTTTCAGTTTTAGTTGTTTTAGTAAAGTATGATGATGTGTGAGAGCGATAACGAAAGTGAGAACAATTCGTCGGCTCACATTTCTGTTTTTGAGCAACGCGCATACATTAAAATCGAAACGATTCGTGGTAAAACAGTGCCTGAAATTCATGCCGCGTTAAATGAAGTGTGTGGAACGGATACTGTGGATCGTAGTACGGTGCAAAGATGGCATCAGCGATTCCGTGATGGTCGTATAAGTATTGATAACAACCCTCGCTCTGGCCGACCCTCTACGGTTACTCAAGACAACACTAACGCGGCTATTCTCGCAACTCTACTCGATGAAGACCGACGAATAACGGTGAGAGAGATAGAGAATGAAACAGGTATTTCAAAATCAAGTGTTCACCGCATTTTAACGGAAATTCTACAGAAACGAAAGATTGCAGCACGTTGGGTGCCTCATTTTCTGTCACCGGAACAGAAGGATACACGCAAAGACATCTGCCGTGAACTCCTTTCTCGCTACGAAAATGAAAAAGAAACGTTTCTTGATCGTATAATTGCAATAGATGAGACTTGGATCCGTGATTTTGAGCCGGAATTAAAATCTCAAAGCAATATTTGGAAGGGAATAACATCACCAAGAGCAAAAAAAGTTCGTCGCCAGCAAACAAAGGTGAAACAAATGATGATTTTTGCTTTCGATAAACTTGGGATAATTGTCACTCATCGAGTTCCAATTGGCAGTAGTGTAACTGGGGATTACTACAAAACATTCCTTGCCAAAAAATTGCTACCAGAAATCCGTAAAAAGCGACCAGGAATGTTACAAAATGGTGTGTCCATATTGCACGATAATGCGCGGCCGCATATCGGAGCACCAGTCGTCGCTCTTTTGGAGAAATATGGATGGGAACGCCTCAAACACCCACCGTATTCGCCGGATTTAAGTCCCCCAGACTTTGATTTATTTCCAAAACTGAAGGAACCACGTTTTCCCGTTTTCCCAACTTAGATATACTAAATGAAGAAGTGAGACGAAGGATCCGTGATATCAACAAAGATGGCGTCCTATGCGGCATTCAAGCGCTCCCGAAACGATGGCAATCGTGTATAGACAAGCAGGGAGATTATATCGAAGGTCTATAATATTGTATTTAGTTTAAAATAAAAACTTATTTATTCAGAGCAAATTGTGCATTACTTTTGGGACAACTCTCGTACACATATTTCCATCTTATTGGCTTCGTTTTAGAGATAGGTATATTGCGTTTAAATAAAAAAAAAAAAAAACCATCCTCCCGTAAAAACATAATGCTATTCAAATTGAAATTCAATTCGACTTTAACGACTTCATTCCGCTTACAAAAAAACTCTGAATTCTTTGAGCTCATAAATTCGTTCTCAGTTGAATATTTATTGTATTGTATCATATTGTTTTTGTGTGTTATTCTGTATAACCGTACTTAACGGATATCGTGAGAAGTGTAAAAAGGCGATATCGATATCTAATAGTATATTGTTTGCCGAAATTACCAATTACAATATTAATTTGACGTAATACAAGATGCATACAATACAAGATTCTGGAGGTTAAAAATTGTTTCATAAAATTAGATAGATGAGATGAAATTTAATATGTTTCAGATGTTTGGCGTCCGTTGTTAAGACGATCATGGCCTTTTATTTAGAGTTGTGGATCCACAAATCAGAATGAGTTTAATGGAGGTGTATTAAAACTAGCACATATTTAAATTTGTGAAGAAACCTGACTATTACTATTAATTAGTAAAATTACCAGTTTCGTGTGACTTTACTACTCCTCCCTCAATTCATCTCTAAAGATGACATTCGGATAGGTCGTTCGGTAGATAAAATTTCGATTTTTCTTTAAAATATTATTTTTATATATTTTTTTTCGTTTATTTAAATCGATTTCATATGTGAATTGTGCGCATATCAAGAGGTGCATTTTTTCGACACGCGTTTACATTGCTCTGTATTCAGCATATTTCAATGTTATATAATACTATGTTAAACTCGGATTATCGGGGAAAAAAAAACAAAAACGAATATTTGCGAAACATTTTTAATAATCACATTTAGAACTCAACGATCGAAAACGAAATCGTCATAGTATTATTCCAGATTAAAAGAGAATAGTTTTGTATTTTTTTTTTTTTTTTTTTTTNACCGCACGTGTGCAAGCGTGAAACGTTTTTCATAGACACACACACACACACACACACATGTACACTACACACGTTCGTATACATGATGATGACCACTCCTTGACAATTTAATAACTAAAATAACTCTTTGCGTTTTTGTAAAGACTTAAAATATATTTTATTATATTGTTTTTGTCAACGGTTCGTTTCAATGACGGATCCAAACCTTAGTTTTGTAATTTTTTAGGCGGACTGTTGTGAGAGTACATAACCGTTTACAACAATATAATCCGGTAATTGTAATTTTTAAAACGATGGTGCAATTTTGCAATACTACGATTGTATCTACTATTAGTGGTCTTCCATAAAACACCTATACACATAGTAAAATTTTTCCATTTTTAAAATACTCGTTTCAAAATGTCACGATGGCCGAATTGAATGTTGGAGGTTTGGGGGTAAACAATATTTATATTAATCGAAAACTGGACAAACGCGTGTAATCGCGGTTAAAAGTTTAGGAAAAAAAAAAAAAAAACTATATTTTACTCGCTTTTTTATAAGTATGATCCTTCTGTCGCGCCTTCTGTATTCTAAATAGGTACATTCAGTAATAATTCATCGGCATTTTCGAAAACACGCTGTCGGAGTGTTAAATATATGATTTTATTTTTGTTTTAGAAAACGCAAGACGCTCGGGTTCTATTATTTTTAATTATCCGAAAACTTGGCGCCAGTCTCTTCATTAGCCACGGAATAACACAAGTAGGTATAGCGACGACAAACGTACAGACGCATCCCCGTCACAACACATACTTCCTTCAGCTGTTTCGGGTTTCTCAGGAAGAAAGTTAATTATTCTCATATATTACAACAGGACGACACGTAGATTTCACAATACTACACGGTGAAGAACCGAAACCGTGATTTATTTCACGGTTCTGCTGCGGTTTCGCCCCACCTTAGTAAATACCTAATTGCGATAAATGTCCGGTTCGTATAAGATGGGGTGGGGACAGATTTATAATATTCCTATTTATTGTGCGACTATATCGGACGAAACCCTAGCTATGCATATTATACTTGGCTGACGAAACTAGGACTGGCAACGTGATATCCTCCGAAAAAATGGCTTTGTCTAAAAAATTCGAAATAATGGACTAAACTATCGGTTTTTATTTTTTAATAATTTTAATATAAATAATAATTGAATATAAATTTGAAAATATTTTTACAGACGAGCAAAAATGGAAATCTTTAATTCGGTCTTTTAATCTCGAACAACTCGTACGTGATATACGTCCGTAGACATCTAACAAATTATTAAAAAAGAAATATTATAGTAGTTCGAAACAATATAGTATTTTAGTTTTGCCATAGACACCGTCGCCACTCGTTGTGTAGGTTTTAACACTATCATTTTTCGCATAGACGGTTGTACAAAATGTAATATTATAACCGCCTCAAAATGTCCTTATCAAGAATTAAAAATATCGGGTCGTACTAGTGCCCTCCATTAATAATATTACGCGATAAAATCATAGATAATAAATTATTCCGTGTATAAAATCCCGACCCTAGTTGGCTGGTTATTATTTATTATCTATAATGGTATCGCATAGACGTGTTCACTACGGTTGTAGCTTAGGGTGCCTGCTGTTGCAATTTTCAAATGGCGCCGGTCAACCAGATTTTATGTCTAGCGGCTTACGACTTTTATTAAAAACCAAACATTACTTATGCACTTTCTGTAACAAAATATTATTCTCTATCAGTCAATTATTTTCGTCATTCGATCTACTAACACATCATATATTTTGTTAATCGTTTAACTATATGGGGCGGTGTAATCCAGACCCGAATAATATTTCTGTAGTTAAATTTAAAGGTACTGAAAATATTGCACATTGTTAATTTGTTAATAGATAATACAGTCTTTTTAAAATTATATACATATTTAATTGGGGGGGGACTCGCCTTCCCCCCTATTTAAAGGGGATTTTTTTCGGTTCACCGTGTGGCGCCGGTCATTAGCTAGACTGCCGCTGCGGATGAAGTCTAGTCACGCTTATGAATGGATATGAATGTATACGAGTTCTACAATAATAACTGTAGAGGTGTAACAAAATTCCACAAGCATCGTACCTTAAGCTTCAGGGAAAAAAATAAAAAATTTAAATCCCAACCCCAACTATAACAATTATATAAATTAATAATATTGCGTGATGGTTGCACGTTTTACACATCCAAGATACTCGCCGTTTTATTGTAATGCAAAGAAATGTCGTCGGTTTTGTTGTATCATTTTTTTATTACGCCTTATAGCTAATAAAAAAAAAAAAAAAAACACGTACTTACGATGGCAGTGCATTTCGGACGGCGCTTTACTACATATCTGTGCTGTAATATGGAATAGGATTTAGGTTATCAGATTAAGGAGGCCGTGTCCGTGACATCACTCCTCACTGCTCGTGCACTTCGGAGACGACAGGCGGGACATTTTTTAACTCGCCGAATATGAGCTGATAAGATAGGTGTACCGCGAAAAAGGGTTTACACGCGGTCGTATAAAAAATTATATCGTGTTCTTGCGATGGAACGAAGTAAGTAAGTACAGTGTGTATTATCGTACCGTACAATGCTGCACTGTAACGGCTGTACCATAATAGCACAGTCGTTTTCGCCGTGTACGAGCGTTTTATCTTTTTTTTTTTATATATACTGGCTTAATGAAAAACGTATGTTTTCATTAGGAATACAATGCCGAGATGACGTCGTGAGTCGTAAAACGCAATAGTATACAGGTGAGTATAAGTAGGTTTTGAAGAAATTCGCCGCAGATCCGCGTAATATTAACGTCATAAATACCGTGAAATCCTGCTGAAAAATAAAATGCGTTTTTTTTTGTTTTGTAATTTCGTTCGTATTTCGCGTGCACGGCGTTTTTCGCGTTATCGTTTGTTTTGTCCGGCGCGCGGTCGACATTAAATTACACGATGACGGGGAATCGCCAACCGCGGCCAATCGAACATTCGGCGTGCGCCTGTGGCGCGGTGTCTACGCGCGCTATAGTTTGGCAAGCGCACGAACGCATTCGAATCCCGCAAAGTCGATTCGACCGCCGCCCGCCAGCGCCCGTCGATCGTGAAACAATTATAACTCAAAGGCTACGCTACACTGCGCGGGATTCGAAAAGGGCGAACGACGTTCGCTCCCGTTCCGCCGTTTCCCGTGGCCCCGGGATACCCGTACCGGGCGGACTGACGCGGAGAACGCGTGTGGCGCACCGAGGCCGATCTCGGTTTTAACCCGCCGCGCGGGTTTTCGCGCCCCGGGATTTTTCCGGGCCGGCGTATCGTAAATGCGTACGTCTTACGGTTCGCGAAGTCGATACCGCGCGTACCGAAACGGTCCGGACTCGTTCGTCGGTCCGCCGATCGGGTAATACGCTCGCGTAGTTCACCGCCGCGCGACGTCGAGTGCCTCGGATATCGTCACGACTGCGGGCGCCCCCACACTGTATACACACACACACACACACACACACGCGCGCATTCGGATTTCTCAACCGCCGATATTAATAATTTTATCGTACCCGTATATTATCGCGTACAATCCGTGTATAATTATAATAGCCGAGTACCGACGGCGAGTACACGTGAAATAATAAATAACGTTATTTCAGCCGGCAAGTTGGCCGAGACCGCTCGATTAAACATCAATATTTTACCGTCACTCGGGTGCAATAATTGAAATGTAATAATTAGAACGCGCGAAGTCTAACGGCCTTGGTACGCAAATAACATTATTAATCACGAACTATATATATATTTTATTTTAATTT